GCACTGTTTAACATGATGTACTTTATTATCTTTGTTCTTTTGTTTTTGTTCTGTTTTTGAGTTCAGTAAGACAGAAGCAATGTTTAACATGATGTACTTTATTATCTTTGTTTTTGATCTGTTTTGGAGTTTAGTAAGACAGAAGCACTGTTTAACATGATGTACTTTATTATCTTTGTTCTTTTGTTTTTGTTCTGTTTTTGAGTTCAGTAAGACAGAAGCAATGTTTAACATGATGTACTTTATTATCTTTGTTTTTGTTCTGTTTTTCAGTTCAGTAAGACAGAAGCACTGTTTAACATGATGTACTTTGTTATCTTTGTTCTTTTGTTTTTGTTCTGTTTTTGAGTTCAATAAGACAGAAGCACTGTTTAACATGATGTACTTTATTATCTTTGTTTTTGATCTGTTTTCAGTTCAATAAGACAGAAGCACTGTTTAACATGTTGTACTTTATTATCTTTGTTTATGTTCTGTTTTCAGTTCAATAAGACAGAAGCAATGTTTAACATGTTGTACTTTATTATCTTTGTTTTGTTCTGTTTTTCAGTTCAATAAGACAGAAGCAATGTTTAACATGTTGTACTTTATTATCTTTGTTTTTTATCTGTTTTCAGTTCAATAAGACTGAAGCACTGTTTAACATGATGTACTTTATTATCTTTGTTCTTTTGTTTTTGTTCTGTTTTTCAGTTCAATAAGACAGAAGCACTGTTTAATATGATGTACTTTATTATCTTTGTTCTTTTGTTTTTGTTCTGTTTTGGAGTTTAGTAAGACAGAAGCACTGTTTAACATGATGTACTTTATTATCTTTGTTTTTGTTCTGTTTTCAGTTCAATAAGACAGAAGCACTGTTTAACATGCTGTACTTTATTATCTTTGTTTTGTTTTTGTAAGAACAAAGATAATAAAGTACATCATGTTAAACAGTGCTTCTGTCTTATTGAACTGAAAACAGAGTTCCGTTTTTCAGTTCAGTAAGACAGAAGCAATGTTTAACATGATCTACTTTATTATCTTTGTTCTTTTGTTTTTGTTCTGTTTTTCAGTTCAATAAGACAGAAGCAATGTTTAACATGATGTACTTTATTATCTTTGTTTTTGATCTGTTTTCAGTTCAATAAGACAGAAGCACTGTTTAACATGATGTACTTTATTATCTTTGTTTTTGTTCATTTTTTCAGTTTAGTAAGACAGAAGCACTGTTTAACATGATGTACGTTCCTGCCTTTGTTTTGTTTTTTAGTTTTCTGGTTGAAAGTGTTTAAATTGGTCCTCACTTTTTAACTTTAGGGTTCATGGGTTTTGCACCACAGATATATAAGATTGTAACTCATGAGGTCATAGAAAACATGGATGATGACCAGTTATTCTACACAAAAATCTTTTTGCAGGAAGATCTGAGGGTGAGTTGTAATATAATATAAGATTTTATCATTTACATGTTTGAAGTAAAGATTAGTGTAAACTTGGAAAGAGGGTAGTATGAAATCCTTAAGGATATATACATCAGTTAATATATGCAGCATCGTACCTTAGCATTTAGTCACTTGTAGTCACAACCAAGTATCGAAAGTACCACGGTGTTATAAAATACCATTTGTGCCAAGAAGGTGTATAGTGATTTTCTTTGTTAGATTTTTTAATTGCTGACAAATAAGTACATGATCTCAAACTAATTGGGTCAAGACTGAATAACCCCTCATACATCGGTAACCGGCACTTAGCTGTGTGTCTGTCAGTGATAGTTGCCCCAGAAGTCAAATAAAGGGGCACCCTTAATGCCTCAAAATTTAAATCATAAGAAGATTTTTAAAAATAGTCTTAAACACACCTTGGAAGTACAGGAAGGTGTGCTCAGAAATAAAACTCTTGGTGACATATATAAAGACTTATGGACTAAAGTTTACCTATTTGCAATAACTCTAACCAATGCAAGCGACCTGTAAAGATCAAAACTAAAAAATAATATAGCTAGTTTAATCTACTAGTCTTAAGTAGGAGTATACAGTGTTATAAAACAAGAACTTTTAATAGAATAAACTGATTCATGGGCTAGGTATTCTTGCAGCTTTTGCCCCTTTTTGATCTACCTAACTCAAGCTATGTTTCTTAGCTGGTCATGGTACTTATCACCGTATCGGTTTCACGTTACTGTTTGAGCAAATGGGAGACGATGTAACTTGAAACAGTAGTACATAACTGGTTATGTTTCATGTTACTACCTGTTACCAAGATTCCAAAATTATTAAGTTTTTGTTACGGTCATTCTAAAGTTAATCGTCCATCTCCTGCTGTGTGTTACTTTAAAATTTTCCTAAAATAGTATATATATATATATATATATAAATACTTAGAAACAATTACTTGAAAACTGTTATTTTACTGCTGGAATTACCAATTAGGATTTTTAATTTAATTAATTTTTTCTATTATTTATGCACCAACTTGCCGGTAAGTCCACGACTTTGTTGGATACAAGGTCGTTAATAATATACGAGTCACACAAAGAAACATGAACAGGAATATTATCATTATTATAATTAATCGCACTAATTACTTCTATGTTTTAACACAGACGATTAGTAATTTACACTAAATTTTGTAAAAGTCAAGGACATAAAAATATTTGTACCCCACAAGCAGTGAATGATGTAACAACAACAAGCTGATAATCTGAGTGTTATAAGACAGTTATATTTAGTATCAATCAAAAGTTATTTTATAAAATTGTTGTATTTTCTTCTAATTGAAATGCACTCTAGTGTATGGCATCAATATTAATAAAGCCCTTTTAAATAATGTTTTAATCTGAAATGTAATTAAAAAATGTCTCTAATTAGCTTGTCACTCTTGTTTATTTCTTCAGAAAGATCTTTCCATCAAACTTGACCACAAAGCAGACATCTTCCAAAACTTAAATGGAGCTGTTGGTAAGAACTGTAAAAATATTTAATTTTTTTTCCTCTTGAAAAAAGTTTAGAATGTAAAGCAATTTTTTTATAGCTTGACATTTTCTATTGTACGGCTTTGACATTTTCTATTGTACGGCCTTGACATTTTTTTATTGTACGGCCTTGACATTTTTTATTGTATGGCCTTGACATTTTTCTATTGTATTGTAAATAGTGATATGTGCAACAGAAAAGCTGTCACACTTAACCTCAACAAGATAGAAATGATGGTTTTTGATCACAGAGTGAAGGCAGACAAAAAACTCGTGGCCATACAAAAGAAAAATGTCAAGGCCGTACAATAGAAAAAATGTCAAGGCCGTACAATAGATAATGTCAAGGTCATTCAATAGAAAATGTCAAGGTCGTACAATAGAAAATGTCAAGGCCGTACAATAGAAAATGTCAAAGCCGTACAATGGAAAATGTCAAGGCCGTAATAATATCTTAAGCCTACGTGAAACTTGACTCGTCGTATTATGTTCTAGGTGATGTGGAGCTACGGTTCAGTAGTAAAGACAGTTATTTGCACAATTCAGCATATGGAACTAATCCAATAGTTATTCACGGAAATGGACCAAGCAAGGTAAAAACGGTTTTGGTTTTATTATAACTATTTAGTGAAGGAGGACATAACTGATTATTAAGTTAATATCAGCTGTCGATGTGCTTAAACAAGTAAAACTCTTTTATTTTAATTCATCACCATGTTCTGGGATGATGTTATATTAATGAGAAAACAACATCTTCGTTTCTCCCCCCCCCCCCAAAAAAAAAGAGGGTTAATGATAGTAACGAGATGGAATACCATGACATAAATTTAATGTTAGTGAAATCAGTTGTATTATTCTTACATTTTATAATTCATTGCCATGAATATATTATTTGTTGATATCTTTTAACCATTTTATGGGGGTTACTTACACCAGAATAGTTATATTAGCATTTTTTTCAAAGGCTCCTGGTTAAGTTTATTATAAGCCTGAGACTTTCACCTTCTTGGCTGCTAAATTTTGAATTCTACTTTGGCTACAGCTGAAAGTGTTTTTCCTTCACTATGTTTCTACTCTGAGTAAACTCTTCAAACTTTAAAATCGATAAAATTCCAAATTTTGAGTTAAAAAACTTGTCATTCAGTTCACACCATTGTTAAACTTTAATTTGTGAATGTTCAACCAACTAGAAAATCTTTTTTTTCTTGTATTTTATTTTACAGGTGATCCTGAATTCACTGGGTAACTACCTTGCTAGATCTTGGCTGCCATCTGAGGGCTGTTTAGTCTGTAAAAAAGACACCATTAGTCTGAAAAAGAAGAAGGTATTAATTAATTTAAGTTTTATGGAGAAATGGGTTTATTAACATTGGCCATATAGTTTACTTCTGTCAGTAACATCACTCCTCAGTACTAATAAGTTTACTTCTATCAGTAACATCACTCCTCAGTACTAATGAGTTTACTTCTGTCAGTAACATCACTGTTCAGTAATAATAAGTTTACTTTCATCAGTAACATCACTCTTCAGTAATAATAAGTTTACTTCCATCAGTAACACCACTGTTCAGTACTAATAAGTTTACTTCTATCAGTAACATCACTCCTCAGTACTAATGAGTTTACTTCTGTCAGTAACATCACTCATCAATAATACTAATTTTACTTCTATCAGTAACATCACTCTTCAGTAATAATAAGTTTACTTTCATCAGTAACATCACTGTTCAGTAATAATAATTTCACTTTCATCAGTAACATCACTGTTCAGTAATAATAAGTTCACTTTCATCAGTAACATCACTCTTAGTAATAATAAGTTTACTTTCATCAGTAACATCACTGTTCAGTAATAATAAGTTTACTTTCATCAGTAACATCACTGTTCAGTAATAATAAGTTTACTTTCATCAGTAACATCACTGTTCAGTAATAATAAGTTTACTTTCATCAGTAACATCACTCTTCAGTTTCCAGGTGAATTAAGATACAAGAAATGATGTGAAGGAAGTGTGAGATAGTCAGTTTTATTGAAGGATATAAAAACATTGATTTTACTTGTCTTGGCAGATGCCTACCTTATCTATGTGGTAAAGCTGGGCCTGCGTATGTCGATACAAGGCCTGCGTACACTTGGCCTGCATATGGCAGACCCGGGTAAGCTTGACCTGTGTATCCCAGAGCCTGTGTACACTATCAGTTTACTAAGTTATTCACAGGTAGTTCCAATAAGTGGAAATTTTGTATTTGTTGTGCACAATGGGGAAAACATCTCAAAATACATCGGCTAATTACTAATATATTGATATCATTGAAAATGCACAAGAGCTGGTAAGTTTTACAGTTTTTATGAGACATGTCTATTGGTATGAAGATTGATTAGAAAGTGTGAACCATCTGCTTGTATATGTTAGGTATGCTTTAATTCCTTTCAAACTTATTCAATACATAGTAGTTGTTACGACAGCGGAAGGCACGTGACGCTGGTAACATGTCATGAGTTTCTAGAAGGATCATGACTGATCCTGGCAACTCTAGTGTTTGCCAGACACCCTCTATTTTTGTATATAAGCCCAGCAAATAAAGCGGAGATGAGGAGTGACGGTATATATAATAGCAGATTGAAGACCGATCATTGAGTCAAGCGAGCGGTACTGACCATAAGTAAAGTGCGTGAATCGTTGTAAGTTATAGCGTGTGTTTAAGTTAAAGTGACTGTGGAAATTCTGTTTATTGCAAAGTTGTATCGAGAAAGAATAAACTAGTTTTATTTAAGAAACGACTTGCATCGCTGAAGTTCCTCGGGAAGAATGTTTAAGGGAAATTATCAAACGAACAGAGACGTAACATAGTATTTTTTGGAGGATAAAATAGCCATTAAGCATTCTTAAAAAATAAATCCTGATTTTCTTGGTGTTTGAGTAATAATGAATTGTTATTATTAATTTAAGTAAAAGTTTTAACCCTTCTGAACTTTTTTTGGTTTGTTTTAGTTACATTATCGTTAACTTCTGAATTTGACGACTAAGGTATAATATGCCACAAATACAGCCTAGAAGAAAACAGGTATTGGCTAGTTTGTATTTATTATTTAATGGGTGTGGTATATATTTTTCTTCTGTTTTTGATTAACTATCATTACTTCCATTTTTCAGGTGTCAGAACTTC